CTTCCAATAAATCCCAACACCATGAACATATCCCATTTTTTGTGGTTTGTTTTTCCTGTTTGTGTTGGCTTATCATTGAACATGTCTCCAATACAAACAGGAAAAACAAACCACAAAAAAGTAGAGACAACCAAAATGACTACTTGAGTCAAACGACAGTTTCTGTAATGGCTCAAATCAACTTAATGGTCCTGCATATGGAGCAAGTAATGGCCATATTGAGCAGATTACTGTCATTAGAGCTTTTATTGGAGAGAAAAAACAATGACGTCTTTTCCACTCTCATGAAAAATTCACATAGTTCTAGTCAAAGAAGATTTATATCTTTTAAGCTAAGTTTATTAACTGCCTTCCTAATATATTTTCAAGGGTAAACTACATAAATAGTTACCGAAGTTTTAGGACTCTTATATTTTGGTCACTCAACTTTTAAAACTTACAATATAGTTAACAAACTTTTAGTTCGTTTCCAATAAGGTACCCGGGTCTTCGGGCATTTGATTTCCCCGCCCGTGTCCCGACCCGGATGTTACGGGTACCCGTAATTTGAGTAATCGGGTACCTTTTTTTCAATTTTCAAATTATTAATTAAAAAACAAACACAAATTTAAGTGCTCGAATTACATAATCCAACATCCAAACATAGAATTTAAAAATTCGAAATAAAAAAAAAAATCAATAATCCATAATATAAATTCATATAAACTGTACTATAAATGAAATAGACCTCATTCAAAAAATAAAAACCCAAATTAGCAACTATCAATGAAACACAAATTAACGGCCTCATCACCTAATTAATGGCCTTAAAATCTGCTAACTTTGCATGCACCTCATCACCTAATTAATGGCCTTAAAATCTCTATCAATCATCATTGACGGTTTTTATGCCCCTAACCCGGAAAAATCTAATTTTGTGACCCGGTCTAGACTCGGGAAATATCAGGTCGGGTATCCGACCCGAAACTTGAAATTTAAAAAAAATTACCAGGATTTTTTATCGGATCTGTAAGTCGAGTTATTCGAGTCGAATATCTTTTAACACTCCTAACGTCAACCCTTCTTCTTCTTCCACCCTTTCTCCGGGCGCTGTCGTGGGAATCCGAGTAACATCCTCTGAGACAATAGAATAACAGTGTAAGACTTCAACAAAAATATGCTAAACATGGTTGTTTTTCAACATTTTAAGATTCTTTCAAGTAGTTGTTTCTTCCTTTAGCTTTAAGAAACAAGTGCAGAAGTTATTCATGCATTCTCACGATGATCTTCCTTTAGCTGTTCATGTGAATGGTAATATCCTCAGAGAGGTCTAGCAATGTTTCGAAGGCTGAAAGTTGGTTCAGGCTCTATGTTCTAGCTCACTTTCCTGCTACCAAAATCACTACCATTCTTGTGGGTGAAACTTTTTTCTGTCAGATTGATGAAGAAGTTTGGGTTTTTTTATTACCATCAATGAAGAACATTTATCACTCTCTTACAAGGTGGGGTCTAGAGAAAGATATCAAAGTTTCAGCCGCTGTCTCGTCCAAATGTTTGATGCAAAACTCTGCTCTTTTTAGTGATGGTTTGGCTATGAATGTCTCGTGTTAGATTTCTTTCAAAACACAAACTCCACTTATTCCATATTGCTCCTCCAATTTTGCCTTCCTCTTCACTACTGTCTTCCCACCTGGATTTCATGAAAAAGTTTGGATCTTTTGAGCTTACAAAGGTCAATATGGTAGTCACCGATGAACATGTGAAAACCCCCATAAGCAAGAAGCTCTCAGCTTTCCCGGCTAGACCAACCTCGTCGTCAGAAACTACTGTCAATGTAGCCAAAAAGCCTCATCCTCCACAATACCCCGCCATTTTAGCATATTATTGTCGAAGTCTTGCACTACTATTCTATTTTCTTGGAGGATGTTACTCTCATCTCCACCAACAGCACCGAGAGAAAGGGTGGTAGAAGTAGAAGAAGAAAAAGAAGAGCAGAAACGTGCCACGTCAAATAAAATTAATCTGAAATAACATTGTCTTAAAAGTTTGATGACTATTTATTGGGTTTTTAATTATAAATTTAATGGTGAATTTATAAAAGGTTCGCTGAAGATGCCCCTTTTAAAAGTAACCGTGAACTAACGTTGACTTTTTTTAACGATTGACATATAATTAGTGTAATCTAGATGCCAACATTTTATTGGAGGGCACTAAAAGGGACAAGAACTCTGTTTACAAATTTGGTTAGAATGTGGTTCAATTATATGAATATATATATATATATATATATGATGGCGATTTTTCCGATATATCACCGGTGACTGGTAATATTATCGATCTAACATCGGTTATATTATATTTTTCGATCTAACACCCTTAGCAGTAAAGCGTGCCCCCTGCACCGTGCTATAAGATGATTTGGCGCCACGTGGGGTATAGCGCGCCCCCTGCACCGCTTTATACGGTGAGCTGGCGTCACGTGGGTATAGCGCGGCCCCTGCAGCGCGCTATACGCCACGTAGGGGTATAGCGCGGCCCCTGCAGCGCGCTATACGCCACGTAGGGGTATAGCGCGGATCATGTATCGCACTATACCTTTACTGCATAATTTTATATAGCACGGGGTATGTACCGCGACATACCTTTACTCCTGACATAATTTTATATAGCGCGGGGCAGGTACCGCGTTTTGTATAACTTTCCTCGCTATAAATACCATTCTCCGCCGGTTAATTTCTCACATCTCTCCTCTCAACTTATAAATTAATACAACAATTTTGTTAACGAGTCAATAATTCTGGCAATCTTCTCATATTTTATTTAGAAGTTCGTACGATTTTTCGTTATATGGTAATTTTGTTATAATTTTTTATTATATTTATTGTTTATTATGATTATTTGAAAAATATTATACTAATTATTTTTAATTAATTTGTGTTTGTAAAATTAGAAAGCGGGAGCATACGTCGAAATAGTTTTGCGGTGTAAGTAATAATATTAAATTATATTATTTAATTTATTTACGTTAATGTGTAAAAATTTTATTGTGTTATATGTTCGTTCATATATAATTTATTAAATCAGGTTTGTTTCATTTATTTATTTTGCAAATATAATAGTGTCGCACTTTTAAACTCAAATAATGACGCTACTTTCAGCTATTGTTTATAATGATGGTGAAATTCGAGAAGATGAAACCGACATTGTTTTCGTATCAAATGAGCGTGTTAAAATATCATTCAAGAGAAACATAACTCTTGAGGAGCTGATAACGAAGATTTCGAGGAAGATTCATGTTGGAAGTAGTAGAAGAGTGTCGTCGTTGCAGTATAGATTTCCAACATCATTGTTGCCATTAACTTAAACAGCGTTCGAACTTTCGAACAATGATGATGTTGAAATGATGGTTGAAGCTCAAAGTAATTATTAAGACGCCGCTATTGAGATGTATGCACATTTTGTTCAAGTGTGTGCTGTTCGGGGTCAATTATTAAACTCTCACTATGGGCTGACTGAACAAGTTAATCTAAAATCAATTTTTAAACATTAAAATTCATACATGTGTGCCAGCCTTCTGATCGATTAGCACCCTAATCTTTTCTAAATCATCAGGTAGCTCCTGATGATTTTTCCTATCAGTAGACCACCTATTCAAGGAAAAAAATTTGTTATACGCTGTATAAAATTATTAATATACAAAATCAATTTTATAATTACCTCAGAAGTGGTGAAAATACGAATGGGTTCTTCACAACGGGACATAAAAAGGGCAATCGATACCATGCCCAAGACTGCAGCAGCAGGAGACTGCAGCAGCAGGAGACATCCGCCGATAGCATTACGCCTGTAGTCGGTGGCTCCACACATCTCCCTGTACAAGAAAACCAAAACTGCCTAGCCCCAACTGAATGATCCGGCAAGACGAAAGTCGCTAAGATGTCACAACATGTAGTAAACTAGGTTGTGCGATTTGTCTGGCATCAGCAACCCTCCTATCAGCTGCAGTATGCATGCCCGTGCATACATCTTAATCTCATCCTCAGAGGTGTCTGCGCTCAACTCCCGAAAATTAGCATCTAACCAATTTAACGGTATCCTACCTCCGATAAAATTTTCTGGAACACGTCCTAGACTATCCCGACACAAAGCAGTCCAAGAATCGGAAGCTATCACCGATATCACATCTCCATCCACCGAAAGCCCCAGGTGCATAGAAACATCCTCAAGCGTGATCGTGCACTCTCCGCATGGAAGATGAAATGTGTGGGTCTCCGGCCTCCACCACTCTACTAAGATAGAAATTAGGTCTAGCTCTATCTTGCAGTGACCCTGATATCTACCTATATAACCGAATCCAGCCTCTACTAAATACAACAAGACACGGCTGAATATCACTAACTTAAGATTCCTAATAAAAGGATCTAATACACGATCATTCTCCTAAAAATATATCTATAATGACGTTTTTTCAATAAATATCACTATAGATGAATTTAGTACGGCGTTTTCCAAAAACACGTCACCAGTGTTGCGACTTTTACTAAAAACCGCTATTATAGATGGATCTATTGCGATATTTATAAAAACATCACTATTATTATCTCGAAATCGAATATATCTAAAAAATAAGGACATTTATAAAAATTTATATAGGACTCCGACAACCTAACAACGGCCCTGATTATTACTCATTAAAATTACGAATAATATAATGGTTCGTGTTCATAAAATAGTTTATCATGACTTAAGAATTAACTTTAGTGTATATATAATCATATTGTTTTATGGACTTATTTTTACGTGTGTATACATATATGATTCTGTTGTTTAAAAAGGTTTTATATTCTAATTTATTTAATCATCTTCTCAAAGGAAAAAAACTGGCAATCATATCTATGCAATATATAGATACAACATTTGGAACATTATATAAAGTAAAAATTTATTCTCATATCATATTTCGTTCATAGTATGCCAAAATACATCACACAACATTACTATTATACAAATATGTTTTTTTCTTCATAAAGTAAAGCATATGACAAACCATAGATTCATCTCTTGCACCTGCAACACAAAAAATAATAAAGTTCTATGAGAATATGCAATTATAAGAATTTGCACTTTTATGTAATTACATACAAATATATTTGTAAATAATGCAAAATTTTGAATTTATATAAATTCACGGAATTATATTATAATATTTTCTATATTATTTTCTCTTCTTACATTTACTAGATCAAGGAAATGTCCTACGTATTATGAAGATAAAATTTCAAAATTCTATAAAAAAAATTAGTATTTTCCTACTCTTTTAAAGGTTTATGTATAAGGTTAAAAAATAATTACCCGATACTACAAGGGAGTGAAGGTCTAATAACTGTCGCTGTAGCTGTCATGACCACCTTCATGCTTCTTCTTCTCCATCTTCTTCATCTCGCCCTCTTGACCATGTTCCGTAGTTCCGTCGCCATGGATCTTGCCCTTGATCTTATCCATTAAGCCTTCTTTGTGCTGCTCGCCATAGGCATGGCCCTGACCAGCCTCTCCCATGTACGTGTCCCCAGTCATGCCCGTGCCATAGCCATGGCCATGACCGGTCTCTCCCCTGTATTCTGTTCCGGTCATGGCTGTACCACCTGTCATGCCCGTGCCATAACCATGGCCAAGACCAGTATCTCCTTTGTATTCTGTTCCGGTCATGCCCGTATCATAATGTCCTTCCCCCTTGTGGCCATGACCGGCCTCTCCCCTGTATTCTGTTCCGGTCATGGCTGTACCACCGGTCATGCCCGTGTCATAACCATGGCCAAGACCGGTCTCTCCTTTGTATTCTGTTCCGTTCATGCCCGTGTCATAATGTCCTTCCCCCTTGTGCTCGCCGCCGCCATATGCGTAGGCTTGGCCGCCATCATAGTCACCTTCTCCCTGGTGCTTCTCTTCCTCTTTCTTGGCACCTCCCTTGTGGAGGGTCTCACCCATCTTGTGCATGATTCCCGACATTGTTGGAGCTTGGTTTTCTTTTCTTTATTACTTTGATTACTTGATCGCTATGAATTTGTGAGTAAATATTTTTCATGATTTTGGTTCCTACTTATAGGCAAATTAAGGCGGGTTTCACTTTCTTCAGTGGCTCTAGAAAGAAAATTTTCTCTTCATTATTGAAGATTATCCTTGCCAACAACTCAAATTACTTTCATACCCTTTCGCATCCCAAACGAGTTGTGGGTTCTCCTTTTGCAACGTGTTTGTTTTTAGAAACTAGGGTAAATTACGCTTTTAGCATCTCAATTATTAGTTTTGGATTGTCTTAATACTTAATTTTTTAATTTTTTTTAAATCATACCTAAAGTTTAATTTTATTTTATTTTAGTATCTGTCATTAAAAATATAATAGATGGGCTCATCATTCGTGGTATCTACAATCGTCAACCATCGCATCTGTCGGTCAATGAAATCCAAAATTTTCATTGCGTACATTTTTTGCTACTTGAATGTATGTTAGCATCCGATTTACCGGAAAATACCTCAATTTCCTTAAATCATTTATAGATTTCTTAACTTCTTCATCCTTCAATCTATGTCGTCAACCATCTGGTGAGCCTGAAACTAATCTATGTTGGTCAACTTATCATTCTTTCATGGTCCATCATTCTGATTGGTCATTCATATGTGGGAACTATGCCGTGCAAACTCGTTGGTTAAATTTTTAATGACAGATACTAAAATATAATAAAAATTAAATATTATGTATGATTTAAAAAAAATTAGAAGTTTAGGCATTAAAATTGATCAAAATTAATTGTTTAATTATTAAACAAGTAATTTACTTTAGAAAATATTATTTATTTGAATTCATCAAATATTTAAAATAATACGTTATTTTAAAGAAACTATTGCTTGATAATTAAATATGTGAATAGGTGTTCAGTGTTGGCAAATTTTGAGTCACGAACTTTCAACGCCAAATTTATGATTCATCGTGCACAATACTGTGTCCTCCACTATATTTATTTATTTATTTATATTCATTTTAGTTGTTTGTGAGTTTTAATGTATTAATTAATTTTAACTGTGGCGACGGTCCTATATGTTATTATCTTTGTATTTATCTGTTGTATAATCATAATGGTACATCTTCAAAATATACGGAAGTATTTGATTTGGATTCTTATATAATAATAACTGTATAAATAGTCATTCAATTATTAAAGTTTAAAAAAGAATAGAAAAAAATCAAATTAGAAGGTTATCTTTTTCTTATGTTGAGTGAAAACCAACAAAATAATATTCTCCCCGTACCAATTTAATAACGCTGAAAAGAACCAGACATGAATACAAGAGATATCTACTTGTGCGGGAGAGGTGTTGGAGCAAATTTGAAGATATGGGAATATCAATTTCTCCAATTCTAAAATTTGTATTTTATTAGACTCGAGATTCATTAACTTTTTAAATAAATATATTTATTTTTAATAGAAACAATAATAAATACACAACATTAATTTTTTTAGAACAAAACGTTTAACCTCACTTTTCACAAAAACACAAAATTATCTTACATAGACAATTCGAGAATATCTTTTTTTTTTCAATTAATACGGTTTAGAGATTACTTTTTCATAAATATATTTTTAGAGGTTTTTTTAAAATAATAACGCCTTTTTATTTGTACACTTGGGCACTCGATAGAAAAAGGGAGTGTCACATCTTAATATAAGATTAAAATAAGATTTTATTATTTTTATTATTATTTAAATAATAAAATTGATAAAATAATATTTAAAATATTATTATTTTTACCTAAACCATTAATTTTTTTAATATTTCTGATAAAAATATCTAATAATAATAAAATCGATAAAAAAATAACAAAACCGATAACACTTTATCAAATCTAATAAAACATCCAATAATAAAAAATCAATAAAAATAATAATATTTTTAATTATTTTTTACTAGTTTTATTATTTAAATAATAATAAAATTAATAACATTTTTTTTAGTCGTATATTAATACTAGAAAGCATTTTTATATAACACGGATTCGATGCTGCCGATTTTGGCAGCAAGTGACGTGATATTACACGTGTCAGTCTATTGTCGAAACTGATGATAATATCTAAATCTACTGTTGCCAACCAGACCTGTAAATCCACCCGCCCCCGCCCACCCAGATGGGCCCACTTGTCTTCAGAGCTTACACCTGACTGAACCGTGACTCTGGCTTATCTCCTATGAACAAGATAGAGGGTTGATCGCTTTCCAATGCGACACGTGTGACGCCAAAGTCGCTTGCCGACAGAGTGAGGAGTTGTTAACCTGTTGCCGGGACTGTTTTAGTGGCAATCCGACAACACACCAACCTTTTCCCTTTTGTTATTTCCCCGAGCAATGCATCACTGGTTACGCATGAAGTCTTTCTTGTCTGATCCCATCTCAACTCTAACTTTAAAAAGTCGATGGTTCAAAGTTCGAAGATAATAATCAAGATACGTGGACAAATAGGGCGTATTTATCGGAAAATTATTATTATTTTTATTTACGTATTAGATTTTATTAAAAAAAATATTACGGATCTACCACATTTTACAGAAAGACGCGACTCATGAACTGCAACTTATATTAATGTAACGTCACGTGTTAAAAGACGCAGCTCATGAACCACGACTTACGCCAGCTAGAGTCACATTAACTTAAGGCGTGATACATGGGTTGCGCCTTTCTGTCAACTGACACATGCGCCAGAAAGACGCGACTCATGAACCGCGCATTTCATAATTAAATCCCACCTATCCGCTTAAACGTCATCTCCATCTATAAATATCCCCTCTCAACTATTTCCACCATACCAAATCCTCTCAAACCATATCAAAAACCAAACAGTCTTAAAGCTAAACCCCGATCAAATTTTATTTAAAAGATAATAATATATTATATTATATTCCATTAAATTAATATTTTAGTATTTTATTAAATTATTTTATATTTTTTTACAGTTATAAAATAGAAGGTGGTCTAATTTGTTTGGATGCAAATCATATCTCGAGACATTTTGTTGATACTATAACATTTTTAAATTCTATTTTAATTTAAATTATTAGTAATAATTTATTTATTTAATTTTTTATTATTAGTTTATATATTAATTTTTGTAATTATTAATAATTTTAGGAGAACGACCGTATATTAGATCATTTTATCCGCAACCTTAAGTTAGAGATACCAACCAGTGTCTGGTCGTATTTAGTCGAGGTTGAACTCGGTTACGTAGCTAGTTATGAAAGTCACTGTAAGATAGAACCAAAGATTTTTGCATTAGTCGAGCGGTGGAGACCGAAGACAAACACATTCCATCTTCCGTGCGGAGAGTGCACGATTACGCTTGAGGATGTTTCTATGCACTTGGGGCTTCCGGTAGATGGAGATGTGCTTTCAAGGGTGGCGCACAGTAACTGGAATTCATTGTGCCAAAAAATATCTAAGAGGTGTCTCTTCAAATTTAATGGTGGTCAGATTCCGTTAAATTGGTTGGATGTAAATTTTAAGAATTTGAGTGAGGACGCCTCGGAGGATCAGGTAAAAAAGTATGCACGAGCATGCATATTACAGCTGATAGGAGGGATGCTGATGCCAGACAAATCGTGCAACCAAGTTTATTGTATGTGGTTGCGGTATCTCGTCGATTTTCATCTGGCTGGAACACTGAGTTAGGGCTCGATAATTTTGGCATTCATGTATAGGGAAATATGTCGAGCTACTGACTATAGGAAAAATGTTATCGGCGGATGTCTCCTTCTGCTGCAGTCTTGGCATGGTATCGCATGCCCTTTTTATGTCCTGTTGTGAAGAACCCGTTCGTATTCCCGCTATTATTGAGGTAATTACAATACTGATTTCGTATATTAATCATTTTATCTAGTATATAATAAAAATTATTTCCTTGAATAGGTGGTCTATTAATAGGAAAAATCATTGGGATCTACCTGATGAATTATAATTAATGAGACTACTAATTGATCAGAAGGCTGACACAGAGTATGTATTTAAATGTTTGAAAATCTATTTTGTATTATCGTTATATAATTAGATTATTATTTTGATAAGAATTATATATATTTGTTTTAGTTTGAATGTGCTCCTTACTGTAATGATGATATGAGGATTTGCATCCCACATGAGTTAAGGGGCCTATTAGATGTTTATATGGCGGTGATCCCTCTAATATGTTATGCGATTGTCAAATGGCACCCCACTGATTGCATGCTCCGGTAATTTGGTTTTGTACAATCAATTTTGGAAGCACCTCAATATCTCGACGAGTTGCATAACACCGATCGACGCAGTAAAAAATATGGATTGACTGCTGAAGCATTATGAGTGGGTCATGATATGAGAGGATCGACGTCGGCGCATTCCCATAGAGAACCCATTTATGTAGACCATTTGAGGTTGTAGATGATTATTACGAGTGGTTCAACACTAACGGGAAACTGTTCCTGCTTTCTGAGGATGCATGAGGACAGAGAATTCATCGACGTCGATAGAGACATGTACTGTCACAACCCTATCATCCCTGACTTGTTAACGGAGAACAGGTGCTTCCGGTTTGTCGTCAGCTGCAGCACCGGAACCTTCGCAGCAGGCACCATCTGCAACGATGTACATCCCGCAGCCAGTTTATATGGGTCCGCAACTATATCAGATGTCACCACCGCCGTTCCCATACCAGATGTCGCCATTGCCACAGAGTTATATTACCCATCCTGGAGGATATTATGGTTCTATGTTTGCATATATGACTTGGGGTTCATATACTAGTTATTTTGCGAGTTCAACCTTACCACCGATGATCGTCGTACTTATACCTCCTGTACAGTTTTCTCACTCATCGATGTCTATGTTTTCTCAGTTTTCCCAGTTTTCTATGAGCGGTGGGATAGTCAGTCATACACCTCCAGGGTCCTTATTCTATGGATGTGCTACATCATCATCAGTTCCTCATCAACAAAATGTATCTGCTCCTGATGACTACAACAACGACGATGATGATGATGGTGGTGATGATGATGACGACGAC